AATAATTTTAAATACATTCTCAGTCTATATTCTTTCATTTTGATACTACTATCTTTTTTGGCGTTTTGATACTGTTAAAAGACCAAACAAAAAAGCCGCAGATTTGTTGTCAATGACGTTTAAGAGATGATTATATAAAGGGGGAATCACAAAAACTATTCACAGATATTTTGGTACACAAACCCCCAAACAGATTAAAGAATTTGTTTTTTGTTTGAAAAACTAAATTAAAGAATAATGGTCGGGCCCATAGAAAATTAATGTAAATAATCACAAATAACTCAAATTATCAGCAGAACCCAACCGTGGAATACGCCCGGAGGACCCACCTTTCTTTTTTGACCCGTCCGGATCCGACCCGCCTCCACACACGAAAGTGCATTCAACGCCGCAGATATTACTGAAACACGAGAAAAGTCCGTTTCCTCCTTCGGTGTGACGGCGATTATGCTTCTTCTTCACCGTCGTCGGAGTTTTCCTCCTCGAGCTTTTTCCTCCGGTGACTGGAACAATCGCGCCGCTCCCTACATCGCTGCTTTGGTGACTTGATCCGAGATCGTAAAGCGGCGGAAGCTCAGTTCGCCACCGCTCGAGTTTCGATCTGAGACCTTCGATGTTACTATCGTCGTCGAGACTCCATTCGCTGAGGATCGAGCTCTCTGTTTCGTTGGCTCGCGATCTCTCTTTCGCCATTTTCTGAGCTACTTCTGAAGGTGATGGACCTAACTCAGATTCTGTTAAAATCGGTCGTCCTGCTAAATTAGATCTCATCGGAGTACCGAATTGTAGAGGCGATTTCATCGGTGTAGCCATGTAGTTAGATCGAATCGGAGTAGATCCGACGATGTTGGATCGTAATGGAGTCGATGCGAGGATGTTAGATCTCCTTGGAGTCGATCCAACGCCGGTGGATCTCATCGGACTAGATGCAACCATGTTAGATCTGATCGGAGTAGATGCGATGATGTTAGATCTCAACGGAGTACCGTGTCTTGACAAGTACGGTGAAGCGCGGCTGCTAGTTCGATCGTAATCTCTCGGAGGTCTCGGTTTCTCGATCATCGGCGTTGATCTTCTCGGAGTTTTGCGTGATTGATGTTCATACGAATGATAAGCCGGCGATTCCTTGTGTCTCTCACTTCTCGGCCGTGAAACATTGCGGTTCGGCGACTGATCCACGAAATCAGGCTCGAACGAATCGTATCTCTGACTCGGCATATGAGGGGATTGGTAAGGAGGAGCATAATCGATCATGTTCGTTGCGTCGGAATCCGACGTCGTTGAATCGTGTCCCGACGTTGTAGGTACAGTTTCCGATTCGTCATTGCTCATCAACGCGCTTGCAGGTTTCCGATTAGCCAAACGGCTCCGTTCTGCTCTGCTTAGAAGATCGGAAACCACCATTGAGCTCGTATCGCTCCTTGTACGACGGAGCATCGGTGGTGGTCTCGAGACTACGGATTGGTATTGTTTCGAAGAAGGAGATTGCGGATTCCTCGAGCTTCCTTTGTAGCTATTAAGATGCAAATTCTGCAAATGTGGATCATCATCCCCAAGCAAATCTCTGTAACCAACTGCAGAAGAGTCCATGTTTGTGTAAAGTGGCATACTACGCATAGATCCATCAAGCATTCCTACACCAATGTTCAATATCCCTTGAGGACGACCAGATGGTCTACGAACTTGAAGCGCGACGAATCGCATCCCGGGAGGCGGTGTATGGCGATACTCGTCGTTACTTCGGTATCCAGGTCGACGATTTGGAGGGATTAGGTTGCTTATGAGGACACGGATTGTGCCAACGTGAACATCACGGAACCAATGTAAAGCGTAGATTTCGATCACCACGGCTGAAGTATCGGCGTAGAGGAAATCCTCGCTTACTCGGAAAACGAACTTGTCGTTCCAAGTCGGGTTTCCACCACCGGAGTAGTCGACGCGGGTTGTGAGTTTACGCTCTGAGTGAACCCAAGCGACCGCGTAGGTCTTCATTTTACGGGAGACAGGAGCTAGATCTTGAGCAGAGATTATGTTAAGCTCTAGCAATTGAAAAGACGGAAACAACGACATTGTTTGTTGTTGTTGGACACAATCAATGTGAGTGATTGAAAAAAATCAGTCGCATCTGATGAAACCTGAGAGATGTTTTATGAGAAATGGAATAATCGAATTCTTGATCAGCCCATGAAGAATGGGAGATTCTCCATTAGATTGTGTTATCGTTTGGTGGCAAATCTCCGAATGGTATTGGCCATTGTTTTTCTAAT